CCCCAAAACCCCAAAACCCCAAAACCCCAAAACCCCTCAAATAAAATCTTTTGCTGAAAGGATTCGGCCCCGAATGGCTTGGAACTTTATCTAAACGAGCTAGGAGTAGCTCTGGCAATGCAGACTCACACTATAGACATCTAATGCAGTATTCATTATAAGAGATATTACTTGTGGTTTAAACAAAAACTGTAGCCAATACACTCTAAATTTGCCTCTAGCCATTATTTTTAAGAAATAGCCAAAGTCTTCACTATTTTTAGGGATATAAGAAAGTCTATTACAGATATAGCAAAATTTCTCATAGAGGAATGGGCAAGGTGAGAATTAACAATTGTTTCATTACTCTTATTACCCTAAAACAAGAAAATTAAGATGAGAGGAATGAAAAGTTGATTACTAACTTAGATACTAATTTCTCAGAATCTTTGAAGACCTTACCCTTCTGATGAGAGGCTTAAATCATCCAATAAAACGAATGGAGGCTGAGAATTCTCAAGAAAAATATTGAGAAAATCTCATTAAAATAAATACTTGAGAAGGCGTATGGGAAGATCTTAACACCTCTTATACAAAAATGCTATTCATATGAAGAAGGAGAATGCGCTAGTCATATTTCAATTTTGGATGCAAAATTAGCAAAAATTTTACATAATCCTTATGAAGGAGCTGATTCTCTGTGCTTAGCAATTGAGAGTTCTGCCATTTTTATTACATCACTGAGCTCATTAGCTCCGCCAATGAAGCCGCTATGATGGACAAAACAGATAGAGTCAATTCCGCTTGCTTCCTTAAGTTCATCTCCTCTCTTACCTCTCCAATCTTCATGAAGGGAGATTCTGTTTTCGAATCCGCTCTCATGAGTTGAGACTGCCTGGACTCTGTACATTGGTCCACTCTTAAAGAAGACGAACTTTATGAGGCCTTCATTCTTAGTCTCTTCCTCAAGCTTATACAAATGTGATTTCCATGGGCAGAATTGGTCGAAATGTACTAGCTCTCCGGATTCATGGAACTCCTTTCTTTTCTCAAAAGATTCTTTTACAATGTTATAGGCTGGTCTTGAGATCATATATTTGCTGTAAATGGCATCAAGGAAGTCCTTTTCTCCGACACTCATGGCCTTGAGGAACCATTTGTTAGGGCATTTATCTTCAGCATTCCATGCTGGATTGAGTCTGCCAATCCGAGATCCAAGCCCAGTGGTGATCTTGTATCTAGGTCTCACATCTTTATTTGTAATTGACACGCCATTATCAATAGCATCAATTTCTTTTACAAAGGAATGATAGATATCTTTGTGAGAATCTTCAATAGTTTTGGTGATTTCTTCCTCAGTGGAGCCGAGATTAGCTCCAAATTGTTTGCCGATATTTCTCAAGATTTCTTTTCCGAAATACTTATAAATCAACCCTGCTGAGGACATTTTTATAGGGTAGGAGCCTTCTTTTGGGGCATCATCAAAGTAACTATCAAAAGTTTTTTGATGATGGTCAAATCTCTTCTTAGAAGGATCAAAGACATCTCCTACATCCATTAAGATATCGACCAGCTCATGGATTTCTGGATTTCTTGACCTAACAATGGCAGGATTGGCGTATTCCTCAGTATACTTCAGCATAGTACATGCGAGGACCTCATCACAATGGAATGCTCCACTATGTGTACCTACAATCTTCAGGCCTTGGCCTCTAGCATTGTCTACAAACTCATTAGCTTCTTCCACATCCTCAGTTGAGATTATCTGTATGGCCTGAGTCTCAGGCTCATCCTTAAGGTACTCCATTTCTTGTTTGAACTAAAATTACAATATTTTAGATTTTTAGTGGGGTTTTGGGGTTTTGGGGTTTTGGGG